AAGAAGGGTGCCAACCCCGACTTCAGCCAGAAGGGCGCCAACAAGTCCCTCAAGGTCAACATCCCTGAGAGCTGCCGTGCCTAAGCTGTGTCAGCAATTGTATCGTGCAATGAATAAATGATACAAACAATATAATATATTTTGGCTCCGCACAATTTTTATTTCCTCAATACAAAACATGTACTATACTCTTAATAATCGTCGCATTTCACCCAGAGAAGTGGGTGTTCAACACTGTGAACCGCTCTTTGTGCAAAACGAAAGTTTGTAGCGACAGAAATACAGTTACAGTTACACGTTTTCAGGTGAAAAGCTACTTTTATTTTAAAGTTAAAATCACAATAACCGCTTGGGATGTTTTATATTTATCTTAATTTCTAGTTTTTGCAACATTTACTAGAATATATATTTTTTGAGATTGTTACCCTGTTGTGTTACCCCTCAACACAGAATACAAGCTCTACAAACTGACAATTTACCTATAAGGTTTTTTGGGCAGCTCGAGAATGGCTGAATTTTATTGTGTTGACATCATAATGAAAAGTTCACCCTAAAGACTAGAGCAGTATTCTCGCATTAGAGAGATTAGTTGGACATGCCAGGTGTCTGATTCGCGTCGCGCGCTTTTGTAGTTATACTGTACTGCATGCACAGGTGCTGGCTGGTTTGCCTATCCTCAATGCCCACCGCTCTTGGCGGCCGCGTGCGAGTTGGCAACCCGCTTGCATGCGTGCATGAGGTACAGTATAACTACGGAAGTGCGCGGCGTAAGTCAACCGCCTAATACAGGGTGGTCGTTGCGCCTCGTCGGAGCAGCAAGTGGGTGGGTATACTAGCCTGCATAAAGACATATGGACTGGTTGCCTATTCGCACGGGGACCACCCCAAGTCGCCACGGCTACAAACTTTAGGCAAACCAACACGCACCTATGCATTCGAGCTGGTATACGCGTTCGCTACGACGGGGCACAGCGACCTCCGTGCATATTGTTGTACAACTGTTATAAGTTTATCTATAACTATGCGCAGAGAGACTGAGCACTTACTACATATCACAGTTCGTATTGGAAAAAATCACAGCGCAGATCCCTCATAAGGTGCATCTTGTATGGCGTCCTTCACCTGGAGGCCATATTTATTTTCTTTGAAATCGAGGTAATCGACAAATCCTTATTGACAATCAACTTTTGACAGTGACTTTAGCTAACCTACGCGATTTCTTTTCTCAACTAGGTTGTTCTTTTCAAAACTGCCCCAGCACAGCGAGAATACAATTCTCTTGATTTTGTTATTTTGTACTTAAGCGTGTGAAACTTAAGAAAATACTCTTGACATTTGTTGGGTTCTATCTACGTTTGGTACGCATCTTCCCACGTCGATTCACGCCCGTTACCTTGATTTCGCCTTTCGAGATGCTGGGTGTCTCCTATACAGATTAGCCCAGTAGGCTGTTTAGTCTATTCAGGGTGCAAGGTTAGCACACTTCAGTTTGCTGTGTACCAGACGCCGTGGAAGCGAGACTTGATGTTAGTCTCTTAGAGTTGGCTTGATCAGCCCCGTTCTTGGAGCTACTGATGGGCGGTTTGTACAACCTCCAAGCCAGGAAGAAGAACAGCAAGGAGCAGGATTTGCCAACGAAAGCGAGGGCCAGCATGTACCTGAAAACAACGAAGCACAGATATAGTTTTCTTGCTGATAAGTTGATAAGAGTTGTCTCGACTTACTTCTTCGTCAGGTGTATTTGAGGATTACGAAACTGTGGCGGCCCCATTTAGATAGGCGTGCTAGGTCGTGGGTACATGGTGTCTCATACAGCGAGTAAATAGTTTCAATTGAATTAACGGAGGGTCCCTTTTATAAATGGAAATTAAACCAATGGAAAATGTGATAAAAAATACGCTACTTTGCGATGCGAGCGAATCTTTTTTGCCATATTATGGGCAGTTTTGATTCCAATAAACCAACGGAAACGTTTTCTCTCGGCTGATGGTCCCTTGCCCCGTACTCTTGCTTCGTTATACTGTGCCGTATTCGCCCAGCCAAGAAAACCCGGGCAACTTGTGGGCAAGTTCCGCCCAACTGCTGGACAATGTCGGGCAATACCGCACGGCAGCTGTGGGCTACTTCCGACGAACTTTTGGGGAGCCACCCGGTTCAAGAGAGAAAGAGCAAGCTACCGGCACTGCGCACATTGCTCACAATATACCGCATGTAAGGATTACGAATTACAAAAACTACACGATCGTTTTTCTCAGATTCATTCGGCGGATTACTGGAGCTCGGCGCCTGCGATACTCGCGGTAGGCCACCCCGCAGTACACGAATGCCCTGTAGGCAAGCTGTTGCCTACCTACCAGGCGTTTGGAGAGCTTGAAGGGGCTGAACTTAATGGGTTCATATCGGCAAATGACGGCACTACTTTCTGGACGAAATTACCCCGAGGCACACAACCACGTCTCGTAGGTATAGAATATCTTTTTGGTATATTACCTGCTCATGTACAGGTTGTCGTAAGCTATGCAGCCGCCGGCCTCGCCGGTGCACTCGTCGCGCTGCCATAGCACACAGGTCTCGTCGATGAGCAGGCCGAAGATCATGGGGGCGGGGATGGTGCCCAACAGGCGCACCTTGATCCACTGAATTCCCAACGCGAAGGACCGCTGCTCTTCCTGCACACACCTGTAACATTTGAGACAGAAATAAGTTATTCCGAATGTTTTTTACTATGTGGGATGGGACATATCTCAAATACGACAAATTTTTCGTCGTCTACGGCATCCATCAACTTGTCCTCTCAGTCAACCTCCTCATTCTCTAGGGGTGTACAGGGTAGGTGATCGCGTCGTCCTGTTTTTCTGGCTATGCCGTACCGGATTCAGGCGTGCGGGTGGGCTCACCTACCGTAGCTCGAAGTGGTGCCTCATGGCCTCGTGCGAGTATGCTACCCGTTCGCACGCGTAAATCCGGTATAGTGCGACCAGAAAAAAGGCGACGCAGATCTCCCACCCTGTAGGACCAAAGATGTCCACGAGACAACCCAACTCTGCTCTACCTCAGCGTGGCGGTGAGCGCCGGCATGGTCACGAGGAACGTGACGAGCATCGTGAAGAAGGCCAGGGCGATGAAGAGCCACAGCAGGTTGCAGCCGGAGGTGCAGGGCTCGTTCACGGCGTCGTAGTCGACGGCACTGCCCCTGCCGCTGCGGTCCTGGGTAACGAAGGCGCTCTCCTCGCCATCCTCCTCCGGGTCATCGCCCGGCGTGGTGTACCGTCGTCGCCGGCGCTCGAGCGGGGCCGACAGCGACAGCGGGGCTGCCGGGGCAGCGTTGACGCACGCGCAGTCCTGGTACACCTGGGCCGCCGGCGAATATACACATTGTAAATTCACGGCATCTACAAGTCGCGCTCTTTCCGGGGAGACACGAACGCGAACGCGCTCACAGCCGCAGGTCGGTACTGACCCTGGCGGTGTCCAGCATGATCTCCTTGGCGCAGCCGGCGTGGCACGGCGAGTAGTACAGCACGTTGTCGGCGCCGCACACCGGGTTGTAGGCGGTCGCCTCGCAGCCGCAGCCCGCGTTACAGGCGCTGCCGAGGCCCAGGGCGCCGAGGGCCGGCAGGCTGGCCGAACCGTTCTCTGCGTCGCCGTAGGCGCGTGTCACGCCGGCAAAGGCGATGTTGGGGCAGGAGATGAAGAAGCAGAGCGTGAAGGCGACACCTAGCGCAGCCGTCGCGATGCAGAGCTTGATGATGGCAGCGCAGCTGAGCGAAAAGCGCTTGACCAGATAGCCGCCGAGGAACGTGCCGCCGCCCCCGGCAGGCACGGTGACCAGACCTACACAGAACGGGGTTCAACCAAAGGGAGTGAGCTCACGGGGCTGCCGTGGGACAACCGCTATATAACAAGTTAGCAAGTACACGCTGCACACCCACCCATGAGAAGCGCCGCCCGGCTGGCTGCCACGCTGAACTGGTTCTCGATGAGCTTGGGCAGGAAGGCGGCGAACCCCGCCAGCAGCAGCCCCTCGGAGGCGCCCGCCATGTTGAGGAAAAAGAAGGCCGGGTTGACGATGAGGGTGCGGAAGGCGGCGGGCATCTCGCGCAGCTTGCTAAAGGCCGCCGTCGAGCTGCTCGACGGCCCGTGGGCCTCGCACACCTTCTCGGCGCGCAGGTCGGCGGCGCCGGGCATCTCGACGGGAAAGGCCAGCAGCGGGATGGCGAGCGCGAAGCAGAGCACGGCCGACGCGATGAAGCCGACCCACCACGCGCCCACCCACACGCTGGAGAGCTGCGTCAGCCCCAGGGTGGCCGCGTCCGTCGTCAGGAAGTCCGTGTACACGCGGAGCAGCTGGCCGCCCACCACGTAGCCGAGGGCCGGCCCGACCGTGGCCATCATGTAGAACACGCCTGCAAGCAAAAAGGTTCTCTCAGCGGACGTTCCCTGATCAGGAGAGAGTGCGTTAGGCCGAATTGGAAGAGCACAGCTAGCTAAATTTCAAGTTGGAAACCGAGAGGCCCGTCCCGTACCGAGGTAGACGGACGACATCTTCTTTGAAACGTTTTCGTCGATGAATGTGACGCCCAGAGTGAAGAGCGGGGCTGACCCGGCCCCGTGGAGCAGCTGACCCAGCAGGAAGAGCCACAGGTACAGGTTGCTGTCGGCTGGGCTGCCGCTGCCCTGCGACGCGTCGCACTCGCCTGCCTGTGCAAGTTCAGCTCGGTTACGTTCGCGTACAAGGAGGAGCCAGTCGATCAGAGAGCTTTATGGTAGATTGAGTCTCGAGAGGCGCCTCAGCTGAGGCAGCTCACCGCAAGGCTTTTTGAGGACGACTGTGATTGGTCAAACACAACAGACGATAGAATAACTATCCAAGTTAAAAGTTACTCACGACGGGCATCTTGGTGGAGTTGTCCGACCTACAGGTGTCCTCGTGGTGCGAGGCGCCGCGGTATGGGCCGGCCAGAAAGTGGGGCGTGGCGAAGAGCAGGGAGCCGCAGCCTGGACAAGGAGGGGTAATTGAGAGAGGCGAGCTTGGGCGCCGGGCGGGTAGGCAACCCAAACGGCCCGGGAGCGCGGCGGGGCCATGGGCGGGGCGCCCCAGCATGGACACCCACGAGATTGCCGCGACGCGACATTCCCTCGGAATAATTAGTGTATGCAATAATCTGCATGAATGTCGGCGCAGCAGGCCGTGGCTTAGACGTTTGGCTATGCAATATGCAGACCGGCAAGTTGACGTACCTATGAGGACGACACCCCAGGCTATCCAGCGCGCCTTGGAGGCGCCGGCCCTGCCGCCCAGGTAGGTGACGGGCACGAGGCACAGGAAGGAGGCGATGTCGTAGCCGCCCGCCACTAGCCCCGACTGCGACGAGCGCAGCCCGAAGCGCCGCTCGATCGTCGTGATGACCACGTTCACGAAGCCGTTCACCACCATGCCCTGGATGCCGGCGGCCCAGCACAGCCAGAACAGGACCCACTTTGCGGTGCGGAAGCGCTGCAGGCAGCCGGGGGCGAGGCAGCCCCAGCCGCAGCGCAGCGAGTGGGAGTCGACGTCGTCCTCGTCGGCGGCGGCCTTCTCCTTCGGCGTGGCATCGTGCGGCAGGCCGCGCCTCGGCTGCTGCCTGCCGTTCTCCTGCGGACAACAAAGGCGCTTTACTTGGAGTGGCGAGGGCGTGCGGCGGCCGCAGCGCTGGCACAGTGTGCACGGCTACGGCTCGGTCCAGCCCCAGCCTCCCAGCCTCGCGTTTGCTAGCGTGGATGCGGCACCAACAATGCGAACGGCGGCCGGCAGGCGCACTGTGCATTCAAGATGAGGTCCACCACAGCCCAACTGGTCGGCACCGCCAAACCTGGGGCAGACCATTGCACCCTTCTGATCGCGAGAGGAACCCTTCTGGCGCAGCAACGTCGCGCCGCGCGGTAAAGCAGCGCCGGACCGCACTGAGACGGCCCTTGCGCAGGACACCGCCGCGCGGGGAGGGGCGGGGTGGGGTCCGGATGAGGGCTTTGCTCCTTGCTACTTGCTCCCGCCCCCCACCACTCCGCGCCACGGTCAGTGCGTCGCAACGCCCTCCGCCCAGATCAAGTACCCTTTCGTCTCTGTGCCCGAGCGTCCTGGCGGTGGGCGCGGGTGGTAAAGCGAACGAGGTAAAACGATCTGAGGCGTGCGCGCGCCACCCCACAGGAATGGTCAAGACTGTGTGGTTTAAATTGGCCCTTTGCATTTCGTATGTCCTTCGCCAAATCCAAAACGTAACCTCGCCGAGGAGGATCAGTAGGCAGTCTCGCAATAATCACTCTGACACACTCGGTACCACGAAACATATCTGGCAGTCACTTGGATCTTCGCCTTCTTTTCGTGTCCCTTGAATTGACCCTCTGAATCACCACCATCATATTTTCTGTTCAGCCTGTCTTCTGTATATTTGTGAGTCACGCCCCCTCCCCTCTTCCTCCTCGGCGTTTCCGCTCCAGTCACAAAGACGAGAAGCAATGCCACAGCACAGGACAGTCGGGCCGGGACATCATGATCGCCACGAGATTTATTTTTTTCGAAATTTTGCCAGTAAATGACGTTGTGCATTTACATCCCGACATACCCGTCTGCTTTCTATGTGCTTCGCCTTCGCCGCTGTTTATCTAACGCGTTTTTTTTTTCACCCGCGCACGCCTGGTTGTGCCGGGCAAAAGAAGGAGCAACAGTTCCATTCACCAGTTATCGCATGAGCCTAAAACGAGTTTCCTTCACGCGATTTTACCTGTCGCCTCGAAAAGAAGGCTGTCGTATCGCGCTCTGACCTCGTGAATCTCTTGCCTCCTTACGTAAGGCCACACGTGCTCAAGATTTGTCTTCCGTCCGCGAAACAAATGAGCGGCGTAGATAAATTTCGCAAAACAAACAAACGACAGCGTTCTTGTGTCTGCTCGCACTCACTCACCTGGTGCGGCTGCTGCTCGTCGGACGTGAAGGCGGGGTTGACCACGCCCAGCTCCACCGTCTCGAAGCGGCGTGGGTCCCCCGGCGGGTACACCGTGTCCTCGGCCACCATGGCGCAGACTTGGGCTCAGGCCGTGACCTGAAATGAAGAAAAGTTTGCTTGACAGTCGTTGACGGATACGTGTTTTGTGGCGTTGCGGGATCATGATGGTGTGCCGTTAGCGGGCCGAAAGGGTAACAGCAGCGACCTTTTTGCTAAGTACAAGGACGGAGGGCACGCCTCTCCCACCCCGCTCCCATGAGCGCAGCTTGAGCGCAAGTTCTTGGTCGGATAGCTTCCTGACCCGCATGTGTGCGTTGTGCGCAGGGGAGGTGGCCGGGGGCCGGGCCGGGGTGTGCTCTCCAGACAAACGCATCGTTGACGTTGCCGCACAATCACGGACACCAGACTCCCCACCCAGAAACGTCGTATCGATCTTCGTCGAATCGACATCGACTCGTCGAAAAATTCATCGTTTCGACGTATTTTTGGACCTCTGGTTCGACCAACGACACCAAAATGACAGCGTTACGACATGCCATTTCTGGCTGGGTCAGGATACAAAGCAGACTGACGGCTCCCTCAAGCCTTGTGAGTGGGAGCAGAGAGATATGCGTACCACCGCTCCAGTATTCAACTCTTGATCACAAGGTCGTGTTTTCTAAAATGAGAAGAGTAACGTAATTCGTTGGTTGATCTTCGACCGAGCTACACTCTAAATCGAAAAAAATAATTTTGTACCGTAAATCGCATCCGCATCGATTCCGTTCACTCACTACGTAAAATCATTCGTCTTCACAAACCAATGCTCCCGTTCTTTCTATCTACTATTACGCATTGCCATGCTCTTAATCTCGCTCTTAATCTTACCTTCTTTTTCCCCCGGTGTACCCTTTATCCGCCGTTTTCTGTGCGAACGTCTTGGAATTCCCTGAGCTATCTTCCCTCTGACTTTCCCTCTCACACTCCCTTTCCCCAGCCTGTGCCTGTTATGCACCCACTTTACACAGTGATAACATTTCTCTTGTATGTGGCTGAAATTTTGTCGGCGGTGTATCAGACCGAACACTAGTGTTGCGGGTTTGTCTACTCCCTCGACCCGTAAGGATCCATGGCCCGCGGGGTACAAAGGGCGTGCATTCCCGCAACACACTGACAAAAACACTGTGGTGAAAACGAGCAGTATATCTCATGGCCTATTATTTTTACAACTACCAGGGATCCGTGATAAAAATAATTAGATATGATATTCTCATTTTCTTCACAAGTTTTTTCACAGTAGTTACTGTGCACTGCACTGTTTTAATATTCCCATTAAATTTGCATCTCTCTCTCTCTGATGAAAATTAAGACCCTATAAATTTAATGAGGCGCACCTGTGAGGAGGCCTACAAAAAAAGAGTTCGCACGGACGGAAAGTGTTAAACCGCGCCTGCTCCTCTAGTTGGACACCTGAAAGGTCCTCTCGAGGTCGCGGCCACTCTTTCCAGTTCATTGAACGCAAGTCGAGAAAACGGAAGCGTAGTACCTTCCGATTCTCGCCCGAAAAATGCAGTTGGTCGTCCCTCTTTCCCTCTCGCAACCTACAGCCCCTTCATCAGCCAGTGCGAAAGGGACGACGACATCCAGGCAGCTACATTTCGGGTGCGCTGAGTTCACGGCTGCGTCCTGTTGACCGAAGACTCCGATTGTACAGAGGAGGAAAGGAGGAGGGGACACCTTGAACTGTAGTTCGTGAATCAGGGAAGGTTTGCGTCGGGGGGATAGGTTGCCTCCAAGGCAATGCTTTTAGTCTGCAATGCAAGTTCATGGGGTGGCCCACATAAACCGGATCATTTCGTAGTAATACTGTACCGCGTGCAGGCGATTGGGCGCGTTGCCTACTCGCCAGGGGCCACAGGACGCCGTTGTGTGAAGGACCTTCGAAAACTACAAAATGTTTCGGAGCACGTGGCCACCTTCTATCAAAACTTTCGCGATTCGAGAACTATCTGTTTTTCTTCATTCAGGCAGCTACTCTCCAGAACCTCGAAACAATTGGGCAGTCTGGAAAATGTATCCCATGCTCTCCCCCAAAGCCGTCACATCCGTCAGCGGTTATGAACGGTCCCTCTTGCAGTGAGAGCGCGGGCCGGCCAGTGACGGGCGCGCGAGCGGCGAGGTGCGGTGCGGCGGGGCAGCTATGCCACACGGCATGCGGCTGGCTGTCATGCAGCGTCCACACGTGAGGCTCGGCTCGGCCGCCTGGCGCCACGCCACGCCACACCACGCCACGCCACGCCACGCCACGCCACGCCACGCCACGCCACGCCACGCCACGCCACGCCACGCCCCCACACTCCAGGTCATCAGGTGTGTCGAGTCTCTTGGTGCGGTTGCAAGAAAAGAATGGAAGACATCGCACATCATTTGCGACAGTTCCAATAAAGCGGGCACACTTCAGCACCCCTTGGAAGAGCGTTCGGGCTGCTCGGTCACCGGAACGTGCCCGGAGCCTCATGAGAGTTGTCGGAGAGCAGAGGAGGGAGGGGCGGGGCTGTGCGCGCCCCTCGGCGCACCCTCCCAGCGGCATTGTGGAGCGACCTGTAGACCAGTCGGTATGCGTGTATACGTCCGTGCCACCCCGCTACGGGCCCTACCCCGGCCGGCCCGGCCTGCCATTGGCATCCGGATGGATGGATGAATGGATGGGTGGATGTACCGGGCCCACGCCGAAGTACGGGGCTAGATTGGCAAATCAATTTACAAGAATTGGTTATTGTTCACCCCTTCAACCCTCACTCTAATGTTACCCCCCCTCCCCCCCCACACACAAAAAAATCCTTATCCTCATCCAGTTTTTCTGCTGCACTAACTTCAACTTATGTTCCCTACGCGAGTACGCACACCGAGTGTGTGGGTGTGCGGGAGCGCGTGAGTGCGTGGCGCTACTAACACGTGATTCACCTCTCACTTTTAGCGAGCAAGTGTTGTGCAGTGGAAATCACCATTCACACAGTAATTTGTCTAATTTTCTATATAATATTGTCTATTCTGAAAACTTAAGTGATAACAAATGTAGTTGTCATGTAGATGCTTATTGAGTCTTATTCAAATAATAGTATTCTTTGTACCATTCTGTAAGGAGACTTCAATAAATGGTGTTAAAGAATATCTCGACTGATACAGGCTGCGAAACTGGAAAAATGCATAGAGCTGCAAGATACCAACCACTTTTACATTGCTGACCCAAAGCTTCGTAAGCAGATCGTTCTCCCCTCCCCTCTCTAGGGGCAGCTCGTCCAACCGCCGTGACGCCACCTTGGACTGGTATGAGCCGAGTACACGGCCTAAAGGCTAAAGCTAGAAGTGATGTAATCCGAGGCGATGGTCAAAGTCACCGCGGTGTGCGGTATGAATGTCGGCGAGTCAGGTCCGAGCGCAAGCCCAGACCATGGCAAGTTTATAAGCGCTCGACGGGTAGCATAATGTATGGACTCCTCTTCGCGGTTTGTATGGTTCTGGGCGGGCACGGTTCGCCCTGGCTACTAGAGTTGGAGGACAAGTATGCCTTTTGGCTACTTTCAGGTGGGTTGTAGGACAAATTGCCCACCAAGCAGGGGCGCTGAGGGAAGGGGAAGTTTGGAAGGGGAGGGGGGGGGGTCGCGCTCGCCTCACTTCCTCACTTTTTGAGATAGCCACGCCGCCGCGGTAGAACCCGAGGCAGCACCGGTCAGCACCGAAAGGTGACACCAGAAACCACGCCTGTGAGGCGCCTTCTGTTACCTTATTCTTGTGGTTTTGTTGTTGTTTGAGCTCAAAGTGTCCACACGATAACTTCGAAAAATTCGCCCATTGCGTAACTGAGCCGAAATGTCTTGAAGTCACCTGGTTTATCCGTGTTTTTCTTGCATAACCACACCCTGCGATCTGTTTTTATTTCTTTTCTTTGGCTGGAGAGTTAGTTTTTTGTTGTTTTGTTTTTGTTATTGTTTTTGTTTCTAGGTATATTTACAAAGCCGGTTTCAGAGGTGGTGTTCTTTTCTACTCTATCTCTCTCTCTCTCAAACACACTCTAAAATTTCCATCAAATGTAGGGTCATTATAAAGTTTTCTCCGTAATCATAGGAGCACAATGTCTTACTTGGGAGGATGTGCATCTACACATATATGTTGACTAACGAGCGAATACAATACGCAGACGGCCTAGGCCGTTGAGTAAGCTTACTATAGAACCATGATAGCACAGATCCGAAGAAACATAAGGGCAACTCGAATACATGCCTCACAGTTAAAGTCTTACGAAGCAAAATGCCAAATGCTTCGTACCTACGAAGGATTTTCTCCCTACGAAGCGTCCAAATCCTTCGTATTACAAAGGATTTGGCATTTTTCTTCGTAAGACTTTAACAGTATCACTGTAAAAAATTTCTATGGTAGATTTCCTATAAATGTATCTGCAGCAATTCACATATACATGTATAGAAATTTTCCCATACAGGCGTGTGGTAATTCTACCATACGCGTTAGTATTCTTACCATGCAAGTATAGGAATTTTCCTATACACCTGTGTAGGATATGTACTATGTGTGTGTAGCATTATTCCTACACATGTATAGGAATTTTTTTACAGTATATACTGCCGCTGAGGAAAACCGAGAAAACACGCACCAGCGAGTAGCGAGCGATGTGAGGAACGGGCCAGCCGACCCTTCACCAGCAGAGAGGAGAGGTAAATTATACACAGAGAGGAGGAGGAGAAGACCTCCGAATTACCTAGACGGGCAGGGCCGCCCGCGGGCCGCGGTCGGCTGGGCCGCGGTCGTGGCTCGCGGGCGCTGTCCGGGTCAGACTTGCGGGTGAACACCCTCCTGCCGGTAGTCGAACCAGAGACTGTAACGTAGTACTACTTTGTCGCTTTTTCTTCTTCCCAAAAAGAATAGAGTTGATATGTTGATATCCCGATCCCTCGCGGCTTCCACCCCTCACAACGTTTCGTTTCATCAAGCACGCACTACAAAAAGGCGAGACTTGCGAAGCATTCCAATTCCTTAAGTTTCATTGAAGACGGCGAGGAGGTGCCGACGTCCCCGCCCGCTCGGAGAGGACTTCCCCGGCCAACGGCACTGCTTCTCGGCCCTGCCGGTCCTCACCTGCTCACTTTGTCGCTCCCACGCCGGCCTCAGCGCCTCCTTCCCATGTCGTTGATGACGCCAGGCCAGAGGCACTTCTTTGCGCTCGCTCGCGCCTATTCCCGCATATAGCGATTATGGAAAGGTTACAGGGAAGTCGCGCGGCGTTCTCTGCAGAACACCAAAGCTTCCATTTCGTGGAGATGTTCGTCACGGTGCTTCCTGTCGACGCACTGTTTCTTCTTTTTGCTGACGACTCTGTCGACGCGGCGAGAAGGGCGAGAATAAGCTCACGCCGCTCCCGTCCAACTAAACGGTCGACGTCGGCCTGGTGCTCGTTTGGCGCCGAGGCCGAGCGGCCCGAGAGCGCGCGTAAGGGACTGGGCTCGTGGCGGCGCGGCGCGCGCGATCACAGCCGTCGGCACACTACAGCACGGCGGCGGGAGGCGGCGGAGCGGCGGCCGTGGTGTTGTGCTGCTGGGACAGGTGAGCGCGGCCGGCGCGGCGCGGAGGGGGAGAGGCGCGGCAGCGGCAGGGCAGTCCGGGGCCGCCGTGGGCCGCCGCGGCCGCGGCCCGCCGCGAGTCCGCCGCCTGCCTGGAGGCCCCCCCGGACCCTCGCCGCCCGCCCCCAGCCCGTCCAGCCCGACGGGCCGGGCGGGCAAGGTCTGACCTGAGGCATCGAGCTTCAACTCCAGCTGGTCAAGGGAACCTCGGGAAGCACACAGCGTCAAAGAAAATCGCTGGTTCACATAGGCAGAACGTTGCGTTTTCGGGGAAATTTTGGGCGGACATTTTTTGCACTCATCACTTACTGTTCCTGTTGCTTTATTATTTGATAGGGAGCTCACACAGTTCCGCACACTGGACCCTGGTGTCGTTTAGATGTCAAAATAACGTCCAACTTTTGACCCCATTCTGATTTTCTGTTTTCACACGTGACGATGGACTAGACTCACATAAAGGCCTTGTTTATGAAATTGTTCTAAAACGAATTTGTATGTCAGCCATCCGAGACCGACCCATGAGG